TGTCCATCAGTTTTACTTTTTTCAATTCATTAAGCCCAGCCATTAAAAACCTCCCCCCACCACCGACGAGCCTCGCACATGGGCCCGTCATGTTGCAGTGGCAACGGCAAGCAAGAGGAAGAATTTGGGAAGAGGGGCCCAAGCGGCGTCAGCTCATTCGTACCTGAGCATGGTCTGAGACGCCGAGGATGGGCTTAGGAAGCCGAACTCCTGGGAACAGCTTGGCTCTTGCCGCTGGAAGGGCGTTGGCGTGAGCCATAACGATGACGGGTTCTCCGTGGCGAGGGGATTTCATCCTGGAGTGGAAGCTTCTTGTGGCCCTGACCTGGCAAAAGCTGGAGCCAAACAGCCCAGGGTAAACAGGATCTGCGTGGAGAGCAGGCAGAAAAGGTGCCCTGGCTGAGAACTTGCAAACGGCTTTTGCCACTCAAATGTGCCTGGAAAGGCCAGAAAGCCTCTCAAGTCCGTGCTGGTCAGACCCTTCACAGCAGTGTTTCTTAACCTGTGTTCCGTGGCACACCGGCAGTCATAGAATCAGAGAACACTAGGACTGGAAGGGACCGCGAGAGGTCATCGAGTCCAGTCCCCTGCCCCCATGGCAGGACCAAATACTGTCTAGACCATCCTGATAGACATTTCTCTAACCTACTCTTAAATATCTCCAGAGACGGGGATTCCACAACCTCCCTGGGCAATTTATTCCAGTGTTTAACCACCCTGACAGTTAGGAACTTTTTCCTAATGTCCAACCTAACCCTCCCTTGCTGCAGTTTAAGCCCATTGCTTCTTGTTCTATCCCCAGAGGCCAAGATGAACAAGTTTTCTCCCTCCTCCTCATGACACCCTTTTAAAGACCTAAAATACCTAATTAGATACATAAAAGGTATTTAGTCGGAGGTGTGCCACGGAGAACAGAGTTCAAAATGACCACCCTTAAATGGGCAGACGACTTTTTTTTTTTTTGGATTGGTGTTCCGCATAAAAAAAATTGTTTGTTGTTCCTTGGTCTTAGAAAGTTTAAGGAACACTGCTTCACAGTGACTCAGAACTGGCCGGCTTTGTATCATATAGGACAGATACTAACGGGCCCGAGAGATGAAAACATTGGATCCCACAGGACAACTTTGTCACACCAGGTCCCGGGTACAATGCAACAGCTGGCCATCCCCTTGCTGATTGTCCTAAATATCTCCATCAGGGTCCGAGCCCTCTTAGGCTAGGTGCTGTACTGAGACAGTGATACACGGGCCCCGCCCAAGGGACCACTCTCGGGCCACGTCTTCACTATCAGGAAGATCGACGTAGTGGTGTTTGATCATCCGGGGTTTGATTTAGCAGGTCTAGTAAAGACCTGCTAAATGGAATGTTGAGGGTGCCAGTACTCCTCGATTCGCAAGGAGTAAGGGAAGTTGACAGGAGATCGAATTAAGCTACATTGACTCCAGCTACATCATTAACATAGCCTGGGTTTTGTATCTTAATTTAGCCTTCCAGGCAATTATAGACACTGCCTAACTAAACCAGAGAGACACAGTGTTAGCATCCCCATTTTACAGCTGGAAATCTGGGGCCCAGAGAGATGAAGTGACTTGCCCAGGAGGATCCCTGGCAGAGCTGGGAATGGGACGGAGTGACCTGAGTCCCAAGTCATAAGAAAAAACAACGAGGAATCCTGTGGCCTCTTAGGCCAAGTCCACACTATGGGGGAAGGTCGGCATGTAAAAAACGTAGCTGGAGTTGCTGAGTTAAGCCGAGATGGGTGCCATCCTCACAGTGGGAGGTTGACAAGAGAAACACTCCCGTCGACTTCCCTTACTCCTCACGAGGAGAAGGAAGAACGGTGCCGACGGGGGCGCCCTCTGCATTTGATTTAGCGGGTCTTTACTAGACCTGCTAAATCACATGCCAGAAAATCGACTGCCACTGCATCAATCTTCCCACAAGTGGAGATGGGGTCTTAGGGTATGTCTACACTGCGAGCTATTTTAGGATCACGGAAGTATCCGGAAATAGTTATTCCGCATCTATTGAAGCAGCCCGTTATTTCCAAATAAGGGGCAGCTTATTCCATCGTCCCGGTAACCCTCATTCCCTGAGGGTTATGAGGCATTTCGGAATAGCGAGTTATTTCGCAATTTGGCGCTGTGTCGATGGTGCCAAATTCCAGAATAAGCTCTTTCGAAATACACTCAAAATAAGCTCCACGATTTGTGCAGTGCAAGTAGCGGCGCTTATTTCAAGCTAAGGGTGCAGTGTAGACGCAGCCTTAGAGGCTAAACGACGTGATAGGGCATAAAGCTTTTGCGGGTAAAACCCACTTCATCAGATGGACCGGAGTGGAAGTTAGAGAAGCAGGGACATCTATTTGTGGGATCACAGGCAAAGGAGAAACACAATCCCTCCCGCGGTCAATCCCGCCGAAAAGCTGTTCAGCCACTTGCTTGGACTTTCTGACGCCGGGCTGCCTGCCCACGGTACTTCCCAGCTGGATGGTGGCTGCTGGCGGGAAGCTCGCAAATGCCAATTATGATAAAAAAAAAACTTTAAACTTCAAACACAGTCGAGAGAGCAGGAGCATGGAGAGAAATATCCCCCCTCCCCTGCACAGGAGCTTTCGGAACGTGTGAGTCCTTTTGAATTCACGGCCAGCTCCCATCCGGGTTACCCCTTGCTCCTCCATCTTCTCAAAATAATAACAGTGGCACTGCTTACATTTCAGGGAGGGGGCGCTCCGGCTCCTGAACCTGAAGGATCCCAAGCTGTATGCACAGGAAGGAACACTTCGCCAAGGACAGCGGAGCAGCCTACTCTGGGGAGGAACGCAGCAAATGAGAACCTGCAAGCAAAAGGGTAAAGAGAGAGGGAGCCACCATAAGTGGAGCAAGAAGGAGAACTCTGGGGGTATGTCTAGACTAGCCCCTTAGTTCGAACTAGGGGGTTAATGTAGACATACCCTGAGAGCCTATTCAGCCTGGTTGCCATGTTCAGGCAAGAAGAGACCCAAGACCTGGCTCTGCTCTACACAGTCTATGTCATTGCCTGTGTGCGTTTTCTGATTTGGGCAGCAGGCTGAGACGGGACAGGGCACCAGCTGCATGGATCCAAGAAAGAATCGATTTAGCCCTGTCTGCCAAGCACTCGGAGACGCTTCCGCGGAAGGTGATAAAGCAGAGCAAAGCACGATTAGCTCCCGGGCCAGGGAGAGCTGCCAGTGGGGAGGATCTGAACTGTAAAAGCATATCCAAAAAACCAGGCCCTGGGCCCCACTGACTCAGCACTCAGAGAGAAGAGCGCCAGCTCCTGAAGCTGCCATCTAGTCCCTGGTCTCTACCGATCCGATGCCAGCGAGGCTCTGGGTCCGTGATGCTCATGGGCCGGGTGTTCCCTGGAAGCGTGGGCCACTCAGGAGCAGATGCCAAAGCCGCCCAGTGGATTAGCAGTGCACCCGCGGCTGTTTTTTTGTTTCTGCTGGTGGTGCACTTTCACACAAGCTTTGGTGCACATTAAAACAAAATATTCCGTACATGGGTAGAAACAATCAGAGGGAACGTTGGATTGGACCCACATCAGGATGTGGACAGAGGGATCAACCCCTATTGGTGGGGTGAAGGTTGGGGCCAAGGGTCTTTTTCGGGTATCCTTCCCCTGAGCTGGGCTGGTCCTTCCCCACGTCCTGGGGCCGGCTCCCCACGGAACCCTGAATTTCTGACCCACCTCGCATGACCCCTCACCTCCCATCCCTGCTGCAGCTGCAGGACTGAGAGTCAGGCACACTAGTGCCTCTCCCCGCTCGGTACCACTGGCAGCTGGAGCGAGGGCGCGCGCCAGCCGAGGAAGGTGAGAGGGACCCGACAAAGCAGACAAAATGCCTCTCTCCGTGCAGCCGCTGAAGGGCTCGTTTCCCTGCCGTCTGACGTCTGCAGGCGCAGATTTGGGCCTCCTATCACACTGAAAAGGTGAGTTTGGAAGGGGGGGAAGGGGAGCATCAGGCAGCACTTTCTCCTGGGCCTCAGAAGACAAATGCCACACGCTAGCAGCTTGGGATGGACCCGCTGCTTTCTGTGTGCCGGTGAGACGTCCAGCAAATTGGATCAGGAATCCGCCGCGTCCTGATGGCGCCTTCTTTCCCCGGCTCCGCACCCAAAATCTTCTCTGCAGCCCTCGGTGCGGGCAGCAGGAGCCGGATTTCAAACCCCCCGAAGTCCCTGGAATTTGGACTCGGCTGTCATTAAGGCAGGCAGGGATCTGTTTGCAAAAATTAAGGGGAAAAATTCCTCCCTGTGACGGCGCATCGGGTACCCCCCGATCCTGCATCCCCGTCCGCAGCAAGAACAGAGTCCACCAGCCAGTAGAACAGAGAGCGGTTTATTGCTTCTCCAGGATACCGCACAGCATGGACGTGATGTGGTTACAGGAGTCAGGGCCAGGCCGCCCTAGACCCCTTGGGGTGGGGGACCACAGGCCCCTCAACCCCCAGTACTCAGCTTAGTCTCTTCTCTTCATGTCATCCCAGCCAAAAACTGCCCAGCTCCCAGGCCCTGCCCCCCAGCCAGGTGGCCGTCTCCACCTCCCTTCCTTCCGTCTCTCCCCCGGGAAGAGCCTCGTTATCTGCTCAGGCTGGGCCTAGGTGCCTGGGCCAATCCACATGTGTGTGAGTCAGCGGGAATGATACAGCCCAGCGCAGGGGGACCCCGGATTTCAGAGCAGACAGCCCCCCACTACGTCACACCCCTTCCCCCCACGTAGGCAGTCAGGGATTTCAGGCTGCGCTTTCCGATCCAGGGTATGATGCGGAATGTGTTTTGCATTTGCCAAATCTCCTTTGAATGTAGGATGCCACGGTGCCCCATGGCTGGACACTGTATCTCTCTATGGCAGGGGTAGGGAACCTCAGGCCTGGGGGGCAGATCTGGCCCCTGGCTTGCCTGGATCCAGCCCCCGAGGCTCAGGGCCCCCTCAGCATTGAGGAGTTTGTGCTGGTGCTCCAGCCCCCTCCTAACACACCATGGGGCTGGAGCACCCGAAATCTACTAGCCTGGATCCCCCCCAGGGTCTGATGTGGGGAAATGTGGGGAGAGTCTTTCTCCTTCTCAGTCAGGGGCCACGGCCAGGAGGGCTTTTTGTTTTTGCGTCTCACTTGTGTGGTTTGCAGCCCCCGACTGATTTTTCTGGGGGTCAGCGGCCCCCGACCCAAAACAGGTTCCCCGCCCCCCCTGTCGACACGGCAGCGTTATTTTGAAATAACACCGTCCGCGTCTA